ATATAATAATATTTTCCATTTATATGATAAACTTGTGCCTTTGTTTAATCGTAAAGAATATTGTTGTTTAAAATTTCTCGAAAAAATTAATTTATCTGTGTTGTTTTATTTCCATTATAAAATAAATAGTGTGATTACTCTGTAGGTCCGCCACGACGTAAATATATTTTTTAATTTGTTCATTAGCTAGACCATTAAATATTTCCTCTTCCTCAGATAAGGTATACATGCTTTACATTTTCTTATCCTTAAATAATAAATAAAATTAGATGATACAATAATAAATTTTATTAGTTACTTTTGATTCATTAATTATCTGCAGATAATCGACTATACTAATTTTTGTTTTTCTACCCTCTATTTATAAGAAATTGGAGGCCAAACATAGATAAACAAAAATTATGCAGTTTTATTAACTCATCACAAATTGCAGGGAATTTAGGGGTCATCTACTTGTAATAAACTACGATAAACAAATTTTTAACGAAATTATCTAACACCTCTGAACTTCTTGAACATTTCAACGACTATTTACATATAATAACAACTGTTTATTATATTTATCACTAGCTTTTACCCATGACTTCATTCGCGTGAAACTATTTTTAATTTTTTCTAATTTTAAAAAATTAGTCTAGCTTACTCATGATAACTCCCTCCTCATGCCTACAATATCCCATTGAAATCAGTTCGACCGTTTTAAAGATTAGGTCATATAGACAGAAAAAAGTTTTTATTGGGTTGTTTTCGCCTTAATTCCGTACAAATATTAATTTTAGCTCAAAAAGATAAATTGGTTTCGTCCATAAGCGAATAAAGAATACCTGTAAGAACTTAGAGAATAATACAGTAGAATCCGCTTATAATGACATCGAAGGGAAATGACAAACACTTCATATTAAGCGGGCGTCATGCAAAGCATAGTCTTAGAAAATAAACAACTTTCTATTTTGGTTAGTTTATTAGAGAGAAAAACTACAAATTGTATATATTTATTAACAGAAAAAAAAACAGAACGATGAATTTTAATATCAGTATACATAAGAAGGGTCAGAAAAATGAGCGAAAATGTTATTAATCATTTGGGTCACTATAGCCGGATATGATTTCTTGAGAATCAGTCATAATGAACGATATGTCGTTTTAAACGGAGTCATTATATCCAAACTTTCCCATAGAGAATTTAATATGAAAACTAAACTTAACACTACAATTACTTCATATTAAGCGATTGATCAATATAAACGAATTTCACTGATTGACAAAGCAGGAAATTATTTATTACTGAGGATGTTTTTTGCGTCTAAATAAATTATTTACATTCAAGGACTATTTTAAAATATTGTTTAAGCAATTTAAAAAATTTAAATTTACACTGATTACCATTTACAGTATAAATGTTTTATTGTTCCATTAACTGACGATTACGAAATTTGTTTAAGAACGTGTTGTTTTGAGAAAATTATATTTTTTTATTCTACCATGTTTACAACAATAAAATCTTTATTTTTCTACTTTATGTAACTAAAAATAATACGCTTATAAAGATTTTGTAGAACATTTCATAAAATTAGCAGCAAAATATATGGCAATGAGATAAAAGTTTTTGATTGAAATTTATTGAAACCACTTGAATTCATCGTCGCAGCGTTAATATAATTCGAAAATTTCATGTAACGCCTCTAGATTAGGCTAGGAAATAGGTCATTTCCAATTTACTATCATTATGTAGTTAATTTATGAGGCCATACAAAGCTGACCAGTTTATTTTAGATTAGTAGCATGAAAGGTACGACGTATTATCCATATGTATTATTCACGTTCAATGCCCTATTCACAATTCGTTCCAGATTATCTTCACTCTTTGGCGGTTACTGACATTATCTTACATAAAGTGTAAGTATTTTTGTCTCTATAAATAAATACGTGTATACCGCAAGTGTGGGTGCAAAAATATACAACTATTACATTAGTTTAGCCATCCACGAAACAACAAGAAGATATTAAGAGGCAAATGACTGTAAAATAAGAGGAAATTTAAATGTTATTTACGTTAATGTACTATAATATATCGAAAGATATTATTTTGTTTTCTAGTAGAACCAAAATTTACACAAATCTTAAAACAAACACAAATAAATGAATAAACTAAAAGAGACACGTGTTTCGCCCATTACTAGTGTGGGCCAAACACGTGTCTCCTTTAATAATTTGTTTATTCCCTTGCCACAGTCTTCATTTTTTGATTTTACTAATAAATAATAGATGGATTTTACGGCCTCTTAAATTACTACTCATATTTTCATTTTGAAGTAAGTTTTAAATATTTCATGACCTTGCTACTGCTAACAATAAAATTTATAGAATTTCTTAAGAGTGAGAACAACATACGAAACATAAAAATAAATTTCAATTTTGCGTGCTGACAGAATATATAAGTAATTTATACATAAATAAATATAAGAGGCATAAATGAACCCTTATTATGAAGCCTGGATGTTCGTCAGCGTGTCCGTATGCCATATTTCAATTCAGAACGTTATTGTAGCAGAAATTTAAAAGTAAAATAGGAGGACCACGAATGAGTTTTAATATTAAAGAGTTCAGTTTACCCATTATTATTTTTGTTTTATTGCTTAAAGATACAATGAAATTTGCCCTTTATATCTCAAATGGGCACATCGAAAATTCTGAAATAATTAAAGCAAATAATAGAGTTTCCCAAATATTACATATTTATGATTCCAAAGAAATATTTTTTTTAAACGTTAGCAAAAATTTTAAGTATTTCTAGAATTACAGAATATTATTAAAAAGCATACAAACATAGAAGTAATATTTAATAAGAGCAAAAGAGATATAGATGCCAAAGCAGATTTCCCAAATGATAACTGTAGCATTGTAATAAATCAATTTCACGAAGAAAGTAAAATATTATGTAAATGATGACATATGTTTATTTTGGCCTGTTACAATAGTACAAATGTTCCAAATGTCGTAAATTTAGTTTTAATGACCGAAGCAGATAAACCGATAATACTGCTGGTAAAATAGATCATTTACTTATTGCCATCATGTGCGTCATCGTATAATCCTATTGTCGAGACCGTAGACAGCTTATTTACGCTTAAATTCTAATTTTAGGGACTGGAACTTTTGGAAGAGTACTACTGTGCAGGAACAAGCATTCAAATATATTCGGAGCAATGAAAATTTTGGCACTCGCTGATGTCATAAGGTTAAAACAGGTGGAACATGTCAAAAACGAAAAAAATATCCTTCAGGAAGTAAGGCATCCCTTCATAGTAAACATGTAAGTAGGAAATTGGGTTAAACACCTTTGTATAGTTGTATAAACACCAAAAGGAAAAACAGAAAAGATCCGTTCAAAATTAGGTTAACTGACAATAAGATAAAGGAATAATCGATTTCTGAAATAACTGGAATAATTTAATACAGTAACAAACGTTGTTTATTATTCTATGTAGCATAATAATGCTTAGAGATTCAGGAAGGTCTGAAATTAATCTACCCGGGAAAATATTGCTCAAATGAAAATTACAAAAATTACAAAAAATGATGCCCTAAAAGAGTGTCTACTCTATTAAGCGAAGTTTTTCTTTTTCTTTTCAAAATAATTTTAATCATTCAATTTCGATTGAAAACTATTAAACAGGTATCATTTTGTTTTGTATCTAACTTTCATATTGGTAATCATGATTATGACAATTAATCAATATTAAGCATAAATTAAATATTAAATATTATGTTATGACATTAATTCGAAGCTTCCAGACAGAACTAAGTGAGGTAGAATGTCAGCTCAATAAAATACAGTTATTAATAATTATTCTGAATGGTCTTATGAAACGATAATATTCCATCAAAGTGAAAGTTGTCTTATCTTCCCCGAAGCATAAGTCGAGAAAGTGTCTTTAATTTTTGTAGGTGCTTGGCTGTTGACCTTCAATATTGAACTTGCTTTTCAAGATCTTATAGGTACAACTTTATCTCCATCACTGAGACTCATACGTGGATCAAACTTAATTAATAAACCGAAAAAATTATAAATTCACCAAATGTTATAAAACATTGAAGATCAAAGTAATTAAGAAGTTGTTGTTTGCAACAAGAATTCACACAGATATTTTCTCCTCATTTACGTTCTTGATGCTTTTCGAACTGATATCAAATTGCAATAATATCAAAATAAGACACGATATCAAACTCAATATGTTAAGTTTGTTATAAAAATAAATCCAATGGAAAATTATCTTTGCTTTCAACAAACTCAGTTGTATTGTGTTTAGATTAGATACGCAGGTTACACGCGATACATTTCATTTTAGGAACTCTAGAAAATTCTATTTCAGTTTCCAACAATTAAAAATTGATAAATTAAAAGCAATTATTTATTATTATTATTTTACAAGTTTTATAGTAGGTATACTGCAAAACTTTGTAAACGGTTTGTCAATTAAATTGCATAGTTGGTAAACAGCGCCAAGAAACTTATCAGTTGTTAAGCATTCAACCTTCTACACTTGACCCAATGCGAATTGTAACTTCTGAGTTTAGCTATTGATAAGGAAAACATTTCAATTTTTATAAAAACTATATGGAACGTGACGTTTTGATATCGTCTCAAATTTTCCGCTGCATTGCAGTTCATTTTGCAATCTTAATAAAATTGACATTGCGTTTCGTCCATAAGTTTCAATTATAGTTACGTTTACGTGATATGTCCTTACTGTAAAATAAATACCAAAAATTATAAGTAAACAAACGCAATTTACTGGCTTGCTTACGATCTGATGGTCACGTAAAGATAATTAAAACAAATAATAACAGCAATTATGAATAGTTTTTGCTTCTAAAAAGCTAATTATATGTTTGGATTTTTGGTACAATTAGTAACACGCTATTGGAACTGAATCCGAATAAGGGACTTTATATGATAAGAATAGTTCACGTAGATTGTAAAATTGTTTATTACACGCTAAATAATTAATAAATTTTTTATAAGTGTGAAGGCCCCTACAATTCATGTCTGTATTTAGCCTTAGTAAAATGAGGCAATGATGTACTTTTATACTAAAATTTAATTTTAAATCCATCTAATTAATTCTCATAATTTGATGCGTTTCTTCACTCTTTCTAGGTATCACATGCATTTAGAAAAGAAATCAATTGCTAATTTATCTTATGCTGCATTAATAGCAAGTGTAATATCATTTTAATGATGTGCAGATTACATTTATGTTATGATATAGGTACCTACATATATAAAACTGTTTAAAAATAGTGTTTATAAAATTGCAGCTGCTTCGGTTTGGCACATTTTCAAATCACAATGTATCTACGTTGAAATAGATCCACGTAGCCTTTTTTGGAATAAAACACGCATGAATATTTTTAGAACAAAATTATAATTAAAATATTGAAAAGACTTATTTTTAATAAAACAAGATGTTGATTTCTTCAAGAAACAAATTTTATCAAGTAAAGTTTTATAAGTTGAAATTTATTCAAAGTTTTCTAAAATAACTTTAGTAATCCTTATTTTGCTATCGCATTATTTTAATATACAATACACATTAACAATCAACAATGAAGAAGACTCATGTAAGAATATGGAATTCGTTCATTGGATTCTTTTACTTCATTTTGAGATATTTTTGGCAGTTAAATCAACGTCTGAGTATGATGATTATTTGAATTCTCTTATACTAGTACTGTCTGTTTTTTTCCATTTCATGTAGATTGATGATCATGTTAAACTTATACTTGCATTGAAAAAGCAGAACAGTAGTGCAAAAAATTGATTTTAAATGTTATATGTACACACTAGGTACATGGTAAATCAACATTTAGTTCGATAATAATTGATTTTCCTTGGAATGCTCCTAAAAAGTTTTACTGGTCACACTACTTTATACTATGTTATAAAGTAGCTAATTGGTAATCATAATCAATTTGTGCACTATGTTTACTTCTGCTCCTCTAAACTTCTCGTTCGTTCTTCCTATATGTCTTAAAACAACCCTTCATTGTCCCAGAAGGTGCCCTATCATCCTGTTCTTTTCTTCTCCGCCGCATTTGTCATCCACGTTTCGCAATAAAAATAATAAAATTAATTGAAAAAAAAATTAACTATAATCCAGAATGAATATTAAAGACAAAATTCGCTTACGTAGTAACATATCTGGAAATATAAGATACTTAATAAATCTATCAAGTTCTACATTTATAAAAATATATCTACTATAAATTGTGTCCTACTCTACATAACTAATTCCTAGCTTGCTTCTCTATGTTCCAGGTTATGGTCCAAGAAGAGTAATACATGTATATATATGTTGTTCGAGTATGTGTGTGGTGGTGAACTGTTTTCCTATTTAAGAAATGCCGGTAGATTTAGTCCGTCGACTGGTATATTTTATACGGCCGAAATAGTGTGCGCTTTAGAATACCTACATTTAAAAAATATCGTTTATCGCGATCTTAAACCTGAAAATTTACTTTTGGATATGGACGGACATTTGAAAATAACCGACTTCGGATTCGCTAAAAAGCTAACCGACAGGACATGGACACTTTGCGGGACACCAGAGTATCTGGCTCCCGAAATTATTCAAAGCAAAGGACACAATAAAGCCGTTGATTGGTGGGCATTAGGTAGGTTACTTTTGGACTTTTTGAACAAACTCTCTCTATATTGTTTAGTCAAAACTGAATATTTTTCTTTCCATTTAAAACGTCTTAGAACATCAACAGTAAAGAAGCCTCATACTATTCTGATTAACTAGCTCCAGATCATTCTTTTTATTAGGTATATGTTTAAAAATCATTGAAATGTCAGAAATCATTTTCACTTGCAGTATGCAGTTTCTTTCACTGTTTTATTAAATTGTGTGCCCCTAAGGAGGAATTACTGTTCTATTTTGCTTTTTAAACAGTACCGAATTCATCATCAGAAATTTTACAAATTAATTTGGACCAAATTATACGTAAAATTACCCATAAATAAGCATAAAATTACAGTGTCTGTTACATTTAGTCTACTTCCTTCGAATACGTTCTTTTCTACAGTAAACAATTTCCATTTGTCTGGATAATCATAATCACCTTCGTCATCGCATCTCAATTCGTCGTGAAAGTTGTGCTTTTCATCTTTCGTCTTCTAATGTCTAATCGTTTAGGTCAGTGGCATCAAAAGTAATTCTAGGAAAAGTATTATTATTGGCATCGAGTGCGTACACGTTCACTCTATAAAAATAGGTCAGTGCGACTGCACTTACGAATGACCTCCACGTCCATGTGTAAATCTTCAGAATATTTGAAATTGATCAATTGTTTGTTTGGAAACATCAGCAGAAAAATTTAACAAAATTAATGCTTTCCAAATAGCAAAGTTAAGAACTGATTACGAATCAATAATAAGATAAAGTTTAATTTCTTAATATCATTAACGAAGTTCCGCAGATTTTGTTGACCAGAAATGCATTACACATATATGAATTCTTCAAAAGTAACGACATCCAAAATAGAATATAAAGGTCGATAACGTTTAAAACATATTTCGATTATGAAGAAAACAAGGACGATTATTTTATTGAATAATCTTTTCAATTTTCAGTAGAAATCAATAGCAGAGATTTTCTTTTTCCTTAATTTATAAAGATGCCGCAATTTTCAAAACCCAATGTAACTTTTCAATGAAATACTTTTGTAAAATTACTCCTATTAATAATTTAGTAGAGTACAAAGTTCTTCTGTTACAATACTTAATAAGATATTTTACGAAAACGGTTAGATTAATAAATAAATCATTTTTGTTATAGGGATTCTCGTGTACGAAATGTTAGCAGGTTATCCGCCTTTCTACGATGACAATCCCTTTGGTATATATGAAAAAATACTGAGTGGTAAAATTGATTGGCCCAAACATTTAGATCCCGTTGCAAAGGATCTTATCAAAAAATTACTGGTTCAAGATCGAACAAAACGTTTGGGCAATATGAAGGTACTTACTTATGTGTTGAATTTATGTGCATCAAAATAAGTACTACCTTTTGGTTGTGAATACCAAATTTGTGTTTTTGATTACAGAGTGGCGCCGATGACATTAAACGTCACAGGTGGTTTAAAGGGATAGACTGGCATGAAGTTGAAGACAGAAAATTGACTGTAAGTTGTAAAACATTTCAATTACATAGAAATAACTTTTATATTTTTTTATATTTACGTACACTACGTAATAGTTTTTATCCCGAAAGATCGTTCACACGATAAAAAATTATATGTTTAAAGCAGCCTTGAGCCTAAAAAGACAGTTTCTTCGATATTACAGTTACACTTCAACTTTATTTATACGAATAGATGTGTAGATTAGATTAAACCGTACACATATTAAAATTTTGTTTTGATAAAGGTAATACAAAACAGAATTCGTTACCTTCAACTGCACCTAAGTTCTTCTACAGGGATGACTGAAAAACATTGATCAAAAAGAGTAACTTAGTATTGCATACCAAATAACAACACAATACGATAAATTTATTTTCAGTCAATTATATTTTTTGTAAATTTGATCGAACTTCTTTATAATAAATTAAAGTTGATTGTGATATAGCCTGTTTATGTATAAATATAGCAAGCTTTGTTGATTATTACCCAGGTACCTATGTGGTAATATGATTTTCAAAATAGAAGTATAATTTATAAAATCTTTCGTTAACCGAATGTGTTACGGTAATATTATTTTTAACTACGCTATATTTTGGATAGAATACCTTGTTATCTGGAAAATATCAGCTTGAAATTATCCGCAATCGTTTTGCAACAATCTGTCTCATTAAGTCGATATGATTTAATAATAAACAAATTAGTAATTGACGTGAAACTACACAGTGCGTACAAAAATTCCTAAATAACTTTTTTATAAATTTTGAATTATGATTTCGAGGTAGGTCAAAAAACAGACAGCGTAATTAGATAGACAAATATACATTGTAATTGAAAAGTTATTCACTATAATCACGCAACTTATATGTATTTGCGTTTTAATTTATATCTCCCGCTTCTAACAATTGCATTCATATAGCGGTATATAATTTTTTATTTGTGTTTACGTTTTTCTGAAAACTTTTTGGACCTGCTGAATATTGTTCAGTAAAACTCGTTTTCCCATTTTCCTCTAATTTATTGCAATGCAAGTAATTTTCGACGAGGTATGTGGCTATTTTGAACCAGTTAATATAATATAAACATAAGTCTGTATATTCGGCTAGATTGTTTATTAATTTGATATTACGAATTTTAGCCCCCCATCGTTCCTAAAGTATCGCATCCTGGAGATTCGAGCAACTTTGATGATTATCCCGAAGTCGACTGGAAATCAACGAAAAGTATTGATGAGTCAGATTTAAAGCTGTTTGCAGATTTTTGACGTTATGTTTCGAGTGTTGTAAGGCGAGTGAAAAATATAGTCATGATGCACTGTTTGTTTGTTTTGGTAGAAATTTATTTATTATTAAAGCAATTTTTGTGATATGTTAGGATACCCCGATAAGAGGTTTAAGTTGTTGTATGTGTAAAACAGAAATGATTTGTAGATAGGCATTTACTCTATAGGAAATATATTTTTATGTACAGTTTTCATTTTTTGTTTTTTTTTTTCAGTCCCTCAGAAAATTAGGCGTAAGTAGGTCGTAATCAAAATTTAAAACAAAAGTAATATTTGGAATAGTTTTTTCTCTGAACTTAAAGCAACGATTATTATTATTATTATCCTATTGCGCACTGTATCGCCATCTAGCAGGTATTCGTTGCTATTTTAGTATTTCAAGAGTTGACGTACTTGGATGTAAATTAAATATTTTTTTTCCTAAATGCCTGTATACAATTGGTTTAGCAAATAACAGTCTGTAGGTTACTTCAAAAAGGTGTACTTTAAGCATTTAAAAGTACTTTGTTGTTCAATTTTAATTCAAAAATGATTAGAATATATTCTTTCTTGAACCTGAAAGCACTATTAAATAATTGAAGATACAAAATCGTATTGGATGAAGTTAAATTTATATTTTTTTTTGCATTGCTTATTGGCAAAAGCAATTATTTGAGGAAAATAATCGATATTTAAGTTGCACCACATGACATTCCCGATTTTGGCAGTAGATATTGTTGAAAAAGCTTTTAATGTATGCAAACGTGTGGTTTACAATCCTTGTTAATGGATTATTCGGAGTAAACCAGTAAAAAGCAAAAGGCAAAATTTTTGAGTCCCATAGGCAACCAAACGAACAGAACAAATATAAGTCATACTGCAAAGAAAAATAAAATTCAGGATACTTATTTTAAAGTAAACCAGTTCTCCGTTGGCGGCAGCACTGCAAGATAATATTTAAATACACACGTAATAAAAAGCTTTGTACAAATAAATAAATATGTAGTCATTTTTATATAATTATGTAGTATATACTGTTGTGTTTTATTACATTTTTTATGTTTATATTGAATTATGATAACAAATCTATAAACGATTAAACGAAATAAAAAAAACATTACGTTTTGTAACTTCTTATTAAAATTATTGTAATTTCACCCGATTTGGTTTTAATAAACGGCTTAAACCCCGAGGATTGTGTTACCTTCAAAATTTGAATTTTATTCGACAGATAGTGGGCAATAAAATGATTGTGACTTTATTTCGGTTACTTCGTTTGATATGTTGACAACATTTTAATTATTTTTTGCCTGTGAACATACTATGTACACTTGAACCGGTTTTATATAGCCAGTATCTAATCTTATCTATACGTTTAGAGATGATTTTTGCCAGAACCTATAATTTTTATTCATCAATATCAAAAAGCAACGTTCCATTTTTACACATTTCAATATTAGGTTCAATCTAGTAAAGGCCCAGTAAGTGAAGTTAGTTTTATAAATTGCTATCAAAATGCGTGTCCTTCCAGAAGACCTACAGAAGATTGCAGACGAAGAATTGAACGAAGATGTCAACAGAATCCAGGAGGATTTAAAGCATATTAAAGATTGGATATCTAAACAACCCCACTTGAACGCAAGAACAGGTTAATTATTTATTTATGAATTTACTAAAAGTAAAAACGTATAGCGTCTCGTTATTGAAGTTAAACATTTCGATTTTTATAAAAACACTATAACTTTTTTCTTTAAACAAAATTCAAATTGATTTAAATTTTATTTTTATTACTGGTCGAATGTATTTTAGACTCTTGATCTGCAATTTTGGATTTAGTTCACCTTATAATTTGTAGAAAAACGCCATAATTTTGTACATTGAATAAAATAGAGATCGTAATAATGACGGTAGAATTTTTAAGATGATATTGGAACAAGAATGAATGTACTAAAATTATTTTATGAATAATATTATTGTAGATGACCATTGGTTGTTAACATTTCTTAGAGGGTCTAAATTTAGCCTTCAGAAAACGAAAGAAAAATTAGATTTTTATTATACTGTTAGAGGACTTTGTCCTGAGCTTTACAGTAACCGTGATCCCTTTTTACCAGAAATACAAGATGTATTAAAAATGGGGTAAGTTTGTTAACTTATTTTGTTAAAATCAAGGTTTTGCTTTCATTGGGGGTAGTTTAATAGATATACACTATAATATAAAAATGAAACTATTTATTAGTAGACTGAAACTGTTCTCTAACAACAATAAAAAATCTCCCACATCCTGTTTATAAAACTGGTAGTATTATAGTATTGGAAGTTTATATTTGCAATTACAGAAAAAGGAAATTTTTCTTTTGATTTTTTTTTATTTTCTCCTTACTTATAGCTTTTATTGATTATGAACTTGGTGTTGAATTTAATTTGGTTCACTTTAGCAGGTTTTACTATTGAAACAAGCAATGATTTTTAACGCTCCACGTTCACTTGTCTTTAAATCCAGCTTAACTTTTTTTAATGAAATGTAAGAGAGCTTTTCTGAATTTTAGTTTATTTCTGCCTTTGCCAAAGACAACATCAAAGTCAGAACGTGTAGTTCTATTGAAACATAAAAGTCAGGATCCAGACAAAACAAAATTGGCAGATATCCTTAAAGTCAATTTAATGGTTTTGGATATTATTTTAAACGAAGATGACAATTTTACTATAGCAGGATCTGTTATAGTGCAAGATGTGAAAGATGCAAGTTTGTCATATGTAGCCCATTCGCCGATAGATGTGGTGAAGAAGTTTATCACTGCTGCACAAAAGGGTTACCCAATGAGAACCAAGGCTCTGTACTTTTTAAACATTCCATCGTTTTTTGAGTCAATGATGTCAGTTTTCCGGATGTTTCTAACAGAGAAGAACAGGAAGAGGGTACGAAATTAAACAATTTTTCATATGTCCAGGACAAATTAATAACATAAATGTTATAGATTAAAATTTTTAATGAAAAAGATGTAGATAAGTTTTATGATGAATTTGAAAGATCAATTATGCCTAACGAATATGGAGGTGATGCAGGTCCTTTCGATGATTTGGCAGGTACGTCTCAATTTTTTTTCAAAAACTAAAATTCATTTCAATACAGTAAATACAGTAAAGCCTAGCATACCTACTACTATTTTGAATATTTTAACCACATCCTTAAAAAAAAATTACAAACAAATGATTTCCCCCTTATTGGTCGAAAATTGAAAGGTTTGTAACTATCTATATATGAAAACAGTATCTGTATATACTGAAAAATAATACGAATATCATTACTTAAATTTTTAAAAGTTAAATTATTTTAGCTGAATGGAAAAAAAAAGTCGAGAGTTACCGAGACTGGTTTATTGAAGATCAGAAATTCTGCACCAACGAAAAGAAGAGGCCAGGCAAGCCTAAAACACCTGATGAACTATTTGGTGTTGAAGGATCTTTTCGAAAATTAAATATAGATTAATTCATACTAGGCACTAATTTTACATTTTATTTTTAACGCACCTTTTAAAATGAAATCTTAAAATTTGGTTTTAATGGATTTGGTACTGCTTTTTATGCTTTTTCAACCATCAAAATGAATAATAACCAAATATTGAAACAGTTTTATAGTGTTTGATTAACTGCCTGTAAAAATAAACAATAATATAAAGTTTACTTTATCGCTTTATCGATTATATTCGTACAGTAATATTTCTACAAAGTTTTTAAATTCGGTTGTCTAATCTTATCTGCATAATTATCAAACATCGGTGGAAAATTGCATATTTCTTCCTAAGCTACTGCATAACAAATTAAGTTTGGGCTTTTTGTTTGTACATAGGTCTGGAATAAGTAACCAAATTTAATAATTTTTTAATGAAAATGCGTAAACTTTCTGACGATCTCCAAAAAATTGCTTGTGAACAACTCAATGAGGTTGTCGACAGAATACCAGAAGATTTGCAACATATAAAGGACTGGCTAGCGAAACAACCGCATATCAGTGCAAGAACAGGTAAGTAGTACGAAAAAAATGTTGATTTTATTATTATACTAAGTGCGTAATTTCTAGTCATAGCAATTGTTTCGAATAAAGTAATATAAACACAAAATTATAATTGCAAATTATTTTAATCGCATCCTCTATGATTATTTCAGCCCACAGTGTCTTTTTCAAGTCGATAATTAACAAACTAATTGCAAGCTACAAAATCTACTAAATTACAGAATAAAGACTGCAGGCGAAGTGCACGAATAAACATTTGCATCTTATTAAATAACTAAATATTAAGAATAGATAAATTGTAAACTTCTAGTTGGCTATTTAGGGCTATGTCCTTTTTTGTTTGATTTATATTTATTTCTAAACTTTGTGGTAGATAAAATAATGAAGGTAACTCTAAATGTCTTAATTACCAAATAAGTTGCAATTGGCCTTTCCTTAATATTTATTTTATTAAAAAAATAATTAATGGAAAAAAGTCTCCTTATCACTTTATTCATTTGAAACAAACTGCATGATATCTTTCTCGTTATATTGATTATTTTGTGAAAAGCACTTCCCATACATACATATATCCAATGTTTGTTTATTGCAACTGATTAATCTATACCAGCAAAGATAATAACAAAGAAATTATATACGCGGTTATTAAAATAACTGATATTGAAATTCGATATATACCTAATTCTTAAATATTTACCGTTGTTTAAAACATTTATTCTAGGAGTTTTGGTGTGTAAAACGCCTTTTACTTAATGTAAAGGAAATGATAAAATAAAGTAGACAATGTCTGTTCTTTCGTCCAATAACTAATTTATAGCATCGTAGAGCACGTACTACACTACGTGGAATTATGTGATAATTTTTGAATCTATTTTAGATAACCAATGGTTACTATCATTTCTTAGAGGATGCAAATATAGCCTCGAAAGAACAAAAGAAAAAATTGATTACTTTTATACAATACGAGGAATATGCCCTGAACTATTCAATAACCGAGACCCGTTTCTTCCCGAAATTCAAGAGGTTTTGAAATCAGGGTAAGATCGACTTTCAGTTATGTTCAATATTGTAATAAAAATGTAGAAACAACCACATGTGGATTGGGATATCATTATGATCATCATCATCATCATCGTCAATATCATGGGTGGTCTCAATGTATCAATGTCACTGATTAAATCAAACAAAGACACAAACATTAGGATGGATGATTGTCTTTTTTTTTGATAAGGTACTTAAAAAGGAAACCTATGCTTTTATTTTTAGAACATTTATTCCCCTTCCTACGCCTCTTCCCACAGGCGAAAGAGTTTTTCTAATGATAGATAGAGGAGAGAAGATCAATATTACTGATCAGTTTAAAACCAGCTTAATGATAATGGACATTTTATTGAATGAAGATGATAACTTCACTACAGCTGGGATAGTATCAGTTCATGATTTGAAACAAGCCCTGTTATCGAAGGTAGTTCAAGCACCGCCAGATATTATTAAAAAGTTTATGACCACCAATCAAAAAGCCTACCCCTTAAGGCAGAAGGCGATGCATTTTCTTAATATACCCTCATTTTTTCACAGTATTATGCCACTGTTTAATGCATTTATTCCTGAAAAAGTACAAAAGAGGGTGAGTTATTTACACATAGTAATATGTATACATTTATTAGAAAATCGCTGTAAATAAATAATTTTAGATGAAACTATATACAGAAAATGATTTAGAAAGGTTCTTTGAAGTAATTCCAAAATCTATTTTACCAAAGGAATATGGGGGCGATGCAGGCCCTGTACAACAGATAGCTGGTAAGTAGTGATGCGCAACATTATCATTACCAAGACCAAATAAGTAAAAGTAATATCAAGACTGAGACAGTCTCGGTCTTCGTATTACTTTGCTTATCACTACTGGTAAAAAGTGCACATTCCTTCTAATTTTTTGTGACATATTACAATTCTAATAAATTATATTTCCATCATGTTTTCCAGCTGAATGGAAGAAGAAAGTGGAGAGCTACAAAGATTGGTTTGTCGAAGATGGAAAATATGGTACTAACGAGAAGAAAAGACCAGGAAAACCGAAAACATGAAAATTAAATATAGATTAATTCATACTAGGCACTAATTTTACATTTTATTTTTAACGCACCTTTTAAAATGAAATCTTAAAATTTGTAATAATTTTATTAGGTTTTAATGGATTTGGTACTGCTTTTTATGCTTTTTCAACCATCAAAATGAATAATAACCAAATATTGAAACAGTTTTATAGTGTTTGATTAACTGCCTGTAAAAATAAACAATAATATAAAGTTTACTTTATCGCTTTATCGATTATATTCGTACAGTAATATTTCTACAAAGTTTTTAAATTCGGTTGTCTAATCTTATCTGCATAATTATCAAACATCGGTGGAAAATTGCATATTTCTTCCTAAGCTACTGCATAACAAATTAAGTTTGGGCTTTTTGTTTGTACATAGGTCTGGAATAAGTAACCAAATTTAATAATTTTTTAATGAAAATGCGTAAACTTTCTGACGATCTCCAAAAAATTGCTTGTGAACAACTCAATGAGGTTGTCGACAGAATACCAGAAGATTTGCAACATATAAAGGACTGGCTAGCGAAACAACCGCATATCAGTGCAAGAACAGGTAAGTAGTACGAAAAAAAGTTGATTTTATTATTATACTAACTACATAATTTCTAGTCATAGCAATTGTTTCGAATAAATTAATATAAACACAAAATTTTAATTGCAAATTATTTTAATCGCATCCTCAATGATTATGTCAGCCCACAGTGTCTTTTTCAAGTCGATAATTAACAAACTAATTGCAAGCTACAAAATCTACTAAATTACAGAATAAAGACTGCAGGCGAAGTGCACGAATAAACATTTGCATCTTATTAAATAACTAAATATTAAGAATAGATAAATTGTAAACTTCTAGTTGGCTATTTAGGGCTATGTCCTTTTTTGTTTGATTTATATTTATTTCTAAACTTTGTGGTAGATAAAATAATGAAGGTAACTCTAAATGTCTTAATTACCAAATAAGTTGCAATTGGCCTTTCCTTAATATTTATTTTATTAAAAAAATAATTAATGGAAAAAAGTCTCCTTATCACTTTATTCATTTGAAACAAACTGCATGATATCTTTCTCGTTATATTGATTATTTTGTGAAAAGCACTTCCCATACATACATATATCCAATGTTTGTTTATTGCAACTGATTAATCTATACCAGCAAAGATAATAACAAAGAAATTATATACGCGGTTATTAAAATAACTGATATTGAAATTCGATATATACCTAATTCTTAAATATTTACCGTTGTTTAAAACATTTATTCTAGGAGTTTTGGTGTGTAAAACGCCTTTTACTTAATGTAAAGGAAATGATAAAATAAAGTAGACAATGTCTGTTCTTTCGTCCAATAACTAATTTATAGCATCGTAGAGCACGTACTACACTACGTGGAATTATGTGATAATTTTTGAATCTATTTTAGATAACCAATGGTTACTATCATTTCTTAGAGGATGCAAATATAGCCTCGAAAGAACAAAAGAAAAAATTGATTACTTTTATACAATACGAGGAATATGCCCTGAACTATTCAATAACCGAGACCCGTTTCTTCCCGAAATTCAAGAGGTTTTGAAATCAGGGTAAGATCGACTTTCAGTTATGTTCAATATTGTAATAAAAATGTAGAAACAACCACATGTGGATTGGGATATCATTATGATCATCATCATCATCATCGTCAATATCATGGGTGGTCTCAATGTATCAATGTCACTGATTAAATCAAACAAAGACACAAACATTAGGATGGATGATTGTCTTTTTTTTTGATAAGGTACTTAAAAAGGAAACCTATGCTTTTATTTTTAGAACATTTATTCCCCTTCCTACGCCTCTTCCCACAGGCGAAAGAGTTTTTCTAATGATAGATAGAGGAGAGAAGATCAATATTACTGATCAGTTTAAAACCAGCTTAATGATAATGGACATTTTATTGAATGAAGATGATAACTTCACTACAGCTGGGATAGTATCAGTTCATGATTTGAAACAAGCCCTGTTATCGAAGGTAGTTCAAGCACCGCCAGATATTATTAAAAAGTTTATGACCACCAATCAAAAAGCCTACCCCTTAAGGCAGAAGGCGATGCATTTTCTTAATATACCCTCATTTTTTCACAGTATTATGCCACTGTTTAATGCATTTATTCCTGAAAAAGTACAAAAGAGGGTGAGTTATTTACACATAGTAATATGTATACATTTATTAGAAAATCGCTGTAAATAAATAATTTTAGATGAAACTATATACAGAAAATGATTTAGAAAGGTTCTTTGAAGTAATTCCAAAATCTATTTTACCAAAGGAATATGGGGGCGATGCAGGCCCTGTACAACAGATAGCTGGTAAGTAGTGATGCGCAACATTATCATTACCAAGACCAAATAAGTAAAAGTAATATCAAGACTGAGACAGTCTCGGTCTTCGTATTACTTTGCTTATCACTACTGGTAAAAAGTGCACATTCCTTCTAATTTTTTGTGACATATTACAATTCTAATAAATTATATTTCCATCATGTTTTCCAGCTGAATGGAAGAAGAAAGTGGAGAGCTACAAAGATTGGTTTGTCGAAGATGGAAAATATGGTACTAACGAGAAGAAAAGACCAGGAAAACCGAAAACATCTGACGATATATTTGGACTCGAGGGATCATTTCGAAAATTGAATATAGATTAATTACAAATAGGTATAATTAAAATATAATAAAGTGATTCTCAAATCTGTGCCTACTTGTTTTTATAGAGGTATTAAAGATTTACTAAAAATTGTATTTTCTATAAAATAAAAGGTTATTCATATTATTAAAGGTCAACTATAAATCAATTTAACATTCTGGTTTTAATGTTTTTGTTTTAAATAAATACGTACCTTTTTAGGTACTCCTAATGATTACATAAGTATAGAAAATGCTATCGAAAAGTTTTTGCCTTCCATAAAATTAAAGGAAACGCGACGTTCACACCTCAAATGATAAGTGTTTTGTTAGCGGTATGGCGCCTATAATAATTTCGTTATCTTATTATCAAGTTTATCTACACCTTTGTTTGTAATACCTTTACGATAATAATTCGCGAACTGTGTTTTAGTGGCAAATTCTGTGATGTTTCAGGCGAGTGCAAAAACAAACGAAGATTCACCTCAAACAACATCAAGTAACGAAAAACAACATGATAAATTGGTGAGAACACGAATAGTTATATACGAAAGAGTTGGTCCCGTTAGTGGAAATCAAGATGAGACACTCCAATCAAGCAAATGTGATTCAAAAGATTCAAGGTCAGAAGGAAGCACAATGTCGAATTTTACTAATAATGACAATGCGCCAGCTTCACAATCCTTAAATGAAAATTGTAGCCATTATAGTAACGGTAAAAATATATGCAATGCAAATCAAACAACTGATAAAATAAAAAAGGATAGTCATAATTATAAAAGGAGAGGAGAAACTTCAAGTTACCAAACCAACGATAAAAATAAAGCCAGTTTTGAAAACACTAAGTACGCAAGTATTAGAAATCAGTTAAAAATAACAAATCGATTTTCAAATTCAAATTTAGATATTCCAAGCACGAGTAATATAGATGAAGCTAAAGAAAAGCGAAAAAAAGTTACTTCAGATTATGTGGGACGTATGTTGAGACAGTTTGAACAAAAAATTGAAGAAAATAGTAAACCAACGAAGAAAACTATAGAGCGACATACCGTCCTCAGCGGAAACAACGCGTGGAAATCAAAGAATGATTCTAACGTTAAGGCATTTGAATCCGTAGACAATAAATTATATACAAACAATGAAGAAACAGTTAACAACAATGACAAGACAGAGGCGCTTAGAAAGAATATCGTCGCTGATATTTCTAAAACATTCCAAACAGGTCACTCTTACGAAAATGAAATTAATAACAACTACAGCGAAGAGGAATTTGATAGAATCGAAAGCACATTTCATGAAATGGAAAATACAATTCTTGAAATGCAAGCAGCTCATCGCATTCAACATAAACAACAGGGAACGCATTGTACTTTAACAAGTAAGAATAATACTAAGCATAAACCTACAAAAAAAGATTCGTCGTCGTTCCGGGAAGATTTCCAACTTGACAAAAGAAAAAATGATGAAAAGGATAGGGATTCACTATCAGAAGACATGTACTATGTCATTGTAGACGAAACTTATCAAGATAGAGACGAAGAATTCGGCAAAAGTAACTTCGAAAGTCTAGAAGACATAAATTTTGTGGAGGCTTACAATAGACGTGGTTCAGAACTAATACTGACGCAAGTGGGGCAAATTCTACGTCGCAGTATATCACAGGATCGAAGCAGTAGTACCTTAAATTTCTTACACAAGCAATTTCCAGAAGAAACTTTGGATAGAGAGAATGAAAACGAAAAATTTAATCAAACCACTTCGGAAACGGAATACCCACCAGGTGAGGTTAAAGTCCATAGCGGCCTGGAAACTGCAAATTACTTTTCTGGGCGCGATGTCATTAATAGTAAAAAGAACGGAAGTGAAACCACCGACAGTGAAGTGTCTTCAAACAGATCAACTTTATATTCCGTTTCTGAGTACAACGACGAGGATTTTTCAGACGTTGATGTACGGGAAAAGGTTGTTACTTTCGACCAGGGAATCAGGAGAGAAACCTATTACAATAGTCAGAAGAATCCCGTCATAGAGAAAATTTGTAATTTGGAATCCTGTCACATGAACCATGGAGAATCGCACTACGATATTAACTCCTTAGGAAGAGAAAGGAAGAAGTCAAAAGAAAAACGCAAGTAGGTAGAGAGCTCTTTTCGTCATTATTCGTAAATTTCGTCAAAATTAAAGATAGAAAAGGATAGTGTGTGTACATTTGTATATGTTTTCTGCATATTATGTACTATGAAGCATACCGTAAGGAAGGTATTACGCTATAGAAGTTATAAAAATCATTCATGCTGTTAGAGCAGATACAAATGTAAAAAAAGTTACACAAGCTCAGAACACATCAGAATATGCGCGAGTCAGTTACCAGTTTTCCTGAAAAAGTTCACAAAAAGACACTCATTTATAATAAAGTTATATTTATTGTATTTATAATTGTTAATATGAAATTTTCTTATATATTCTCTTTATTTTTCTGCAACCAATAGGATAGATTACCTAGCAGAGGAATTGCTGTACAGTGAGAAAAAGTACATATCAGACCTTGAGAAAATTATTACGGTGAGGATAATGCCGCAAATTAAAACCACATATATTATTAATAATACGTCAATTTTAACTTAAATGTATATGACGAATGTTTCTTTTCTTAATACATAGGACTATGTACCATTTTTGATAAACGAAGAAACTATCCCGCATCACCTAATCGCAAAAGCTCACATAGTATTCGGAAACATAAAAGCAATTTACAGTAAAACTAAGGATTTCTATAATGACCTAAAGGACTGCGCTGAAATCCCTGAACTAATAGCAGATACGTTCTTGAAACATGTAAGTTTACCAAAAAGTTAATTTCATTTATTAGTTACGATTATATTTCTAAATATTTATGCCAGACTTGGAAAACTGTAAAGGCAGAGTCATCTTGCCAAGTTAAGATAAAGTTGTGTCAGGATTTAATCAATACTCGCTGTACCAACAGAATCCTGCAAGCAATTGTAACATTTCTAAGGAAAAAAATACTATTTTGTAAAATGTTTTATAAGAATTATGCAAGCCTATGAATAATGAAAATATTATTTTTGAATTGAATGATAGGTACTGTAATGGTAGCTTTTATTTGTGAAAGGACAACATTTAATACAATTTCCTACAGATGACCCTACCACCTGCAAATGTTTCAAAATTCATCAAAAATTAATAATATAGCAGTTTCTAGAACCTTCGTAATTAAAACAAAATGTTATAATTTTCCTACATTTACTTTTAAAATAACTGTACCATAAGTACTATGTTTGTTGGAATAAAAATTATTGTATTTACCTATTAAGGAAGAGATTTCTAGCAAATATAAGAGGTTTCAAATTTATATTCATATTTCTATTTTTAGGAAAATCTTTTCCAAATGTATCCCATTTATTATAAGAACAAGCCAAGAGCTGACTATTATTTAACAAAGGAATTTAGGAGTGACATCATTGTAAGTATTAATCGCAATATTTAGTAAGTACTTTCAGACAAAAATTTATTATCATTTATATATTAGGAGTAGAAAAGGATCAAGTCTTTTTTTGATAAACTTAATTTACTGTTTAATTTGGAATTTGATGGGATTTTTTGTATCACTACAATTATTTTAGTATTAGATTATGAACGTATATATTACTTATAAATCGAAAAATAACTGATGAATTTTTATTACGTTGTATTTTAATTTGAGACGTTTAGGTCACTAGGGCTTTGCAACGGTTATCAATCAATTTTATAGATACTTAAAAACTAACTAAACTTGAAACTCCTACGTAAAAAGAACAATATTGAATCAACTTAAAATTATCCGTAAAAGAAACTGTAACTTTTGAACCAAACGTGTCTTCGCTACTCAAAATTTAAGGTCAATTACAATTTTTCATACATTTAAACTGCTATTTTCACTTATCGATTTCCTTTTATTTTATATAACTAACAAGTGCTAGATTGATAAGGGTCGCAAAGCTTTCATGGCCAAATCGTTTCGAATTATTTAGTTATTACACATTCCGTTGACAATTGGGCAGTTTGATTGACAGACAATCTTTCTAAAATTGCAAAGTAAATGGATTATAGTGTTGTACATGAATACAAAGAGAAACAAAAAGGTTATTACGTCAAAATTTTAACGTTCTTCAATCTCTAGTAATGATCCTTAGTTTCAAATAACGGCGTTAAATTAAAATGCGATTATTACTTTCGGAATTTTTTTTATATTAAATAAAAGCCTCATATTTGGATAGAAGAAGTAGTAGATTTAATATTAATTTAAACACAGTCCTTCGAAAAAGATCTGATATCACATCGTCTTCTCATTACCGTACTAATATTTCTTTGCCTTTTAATCACAGTAATAAAAAGCGCTCTATTGTGGATTCCGAGCCGCACCAATTATCACCTATATTGATTCTAATTTTTATATTACGTAAAACTGACCCCAAAGACATGGTCGACAGAATGGCAGATCAGCCTATATCGCGTTAATAATGTCCTTTTCAAAAGTATGCGAAACACTGTTTGTCTTGTTGCTATTTGTTACGGTAACATATTGGGGTATTTGTCTTTTTCCATGAAAATATGCCTTTAGGTTACTTTAACGCTGAAAGGAGTATGTATCAAAAACTAAAAATTTCATTTTAATAGATAATTTTCTACATTTTCTTTTATAAATATTGTAAAAAGAAGAATAGATTGCGTGTTCAAAGAGCTGATAAAAAGGGCATACGTCATTTAAATATCGTATCGTTTGGATGGATTTTAAAAGGTCTCCCTTTGAATAAGACGCGACTTATAAATTCTCAAATCGTTTTCCTTTTCGTATCATGGTTTTAAATGAGCGAATCTGTCTGTTACCGCAACGTCCTTTATAAACAAAATGACTCGATTTATCTTGGCAAATGGCAGTTTCTTAACTTTGAAAGATAATGTAGGATTTCAATGGAAAATGTTTTGCCGAAAGAAGTAAACCGCGCTGCTACCCTTGTAAAGTAGCCACAAAGAAATTTATCTTATTCCAAGAGCCAGTACCTATTTAATAGTAAAGTAGTAGGTGGCGGTAAACATAAAAACTTTTCTGGGAAATTGGACGTTTTAGGCCCGACAAAAACACCTCGGAGATCGATTAGGTTTGGCCAGCTATTTGCTAACGCCTGTTCAGAGGCTTGGCAAATACATTCTTCTCCTAGAACAGATACAAAAGGAGTTAACTCAGGAGGGCACTCCTTCTAACAAAATTCAGAAGGCCATCGAAATGGTTAGGAAGCAAATGTCTAGGGGAAACGATTTCCTTGCCATCGATTCGATCAAAGAGAGTCCCGTTAACCTCGCTCAACAAGGAAGCTTTATTATGCGGGAGAAGTTTAATATCATCAAACCGAGAAAATTCGAGGCGATGCTTTTCCTCTTCGAAGAAATTGTAGTCATTACATCACCTGATACGGTAAGTACTTATACGTATGGAGATAGCTCCTCACTCTTTATAGCATCCTAATGGAAACGAATAAATACAATTGTGACTTCTTCCATTAAAAAAACAGATAAATAGTAAAGCTAAACGTAGCTTTAGCTTAATAGGCGTATGTGATTTTAGTCGTTTTGTCATTTAATATTGGACATTTTCAAGATACCAAAAAACAAACAATTTAGGCCAAAGGGTACGTGTGTTAAAGAGTGAAGTATCCAAGATTTAAAAAATAATATCTTCTCTTGTAACTGAAGCAACGTGTCCAAATCTTTTATAATTTCTAGACGATTCCGAAAATGTTAGAGACAAACAATCAAAAATGAAAAGAAAAGTGTATCCTAGGATTGGCTCTCTTCAAAGCATGCATACAAGTACTTATCATTAGCACTACATTACATGTATGTATGCATATGTACGATTGTATTGCATAAAAGATAATAGAGTAGGACAACATCAAGTTTACCGTTAAGTTGTCATAAATCAATCAAAGGCAAATTAAGAAACATTATAGGTAATTGCGATAAATTCAACTTCTTCACAAATAAATTGCAAACACTTCGTCTAATTTTTACACGAGTTTCAGTTCTAAATTATTTCCTGAAATGTTCTTACTCTTAAGCAAAACTGAATCTACGTTCATTCATTTAATAACCACGGCTGCTAGATTAAAATCAGAATGATAATTAGAGAAAAAATTTGATGATTTTATAGATATAAGTAATCTAGATACATAAATCTGAAACAAAACTAATAAATCAAAGCAAAATATCATCAAACGATGTTATTGAAGATTCCAGTTTACCTCTAGGAGAAACCAATCTCGTTGTAAATTTATATTTTCCGAGTTTTTCTTTGCCCCGTTTGAAAAAACCGCACAAAAGCTGTTCGCCTAAATATCATTTGCGTGTGTAATGAATACCAACAACGAATCAACAAAAGGCTTCTAAATTTGTGCTCCAATACACGTTTAGATGTCTATTAAAAATCCATTTTAAATTTCAATAAATCGAGAACCGAGACGACAACGACGGCAGCACGGCGCGGTATAGTGGGCGAAATTTAATAATCTGAAATAATGGCGATTCAATACAGCAAAAATGAAAATTACGAGGGAACGAAACCAATCGTAACCTCCTTGGTAGGTACTTAAACGGAGATGCGATAAATTACTAAGATTACCACTCATAACTTTCAATAAAAGTATTTAGCTGCCCAATTTTTACAAGATTTTTCGATTTCCTCTTTTTCTCTTCTTGTACTTACCTAACTACAAATATCTGCTAACGAACTGAATAAGAATTGACACCTACTTCGTCGAGCTTTATAAAATAGGATTAGCTATTAGATTAGTTTTTCAAATGGAAAATGCAGCCGTCTCTAAATCAATAAAAGAAACTTCTATCTTGATTAAGAGAAAACTATCTGAATTTTCCCGTTACCATCTGAATTTGCTGGTAACTTTTCATTACATCAATTTGTTGATTAGAATAATTCATATTAATCTAATTAATAAACAACCAACGTGTTAGTATTTAAACAGACGATGATATAAAAGGGTACTTACACTTTTCATAGATAAATGACTCTGTTCATGCTACTGAATTACTGCGGAATATAACATAGAAAATAAAAACAAAATGCGTTTAGACAATAAACTGTTTCTTTCACGATTCTACTTAAAGACGACGTTAAACCTCATGTAGTACTGGGTAGATTGCTTTATAGAACAACGATAGAGAGAAAGTCATAAAATTGAAAGTAGATTTTATAAAGATATGTTACGGTAATCATCATCATCATCTCAAGGTCGTCAGTCTTAAGACTGGTAGGACACGCACCTCCACTCTTTCCTATGCTGAGTTAAGTAATCTTCTCATTTCCCTGAACTAGAATGGTAAACGTGATTAATTCGCTGATTGCGTATAATTGCCAATTATTATATACCGTCAGTAAAAGTCAGTAAAGCCAGTGCTACAGATGGCGTTTACTGCGCCATTTGTAGTATTTTCTAAAACGCACTGTTAAGACAGCAGGTAAAAGTTGGTCTGTGTTCTGTCGGAGCTGTCTGCGACGCGCTGATGAGATCCAAAAAGATCGAAATCGCGATCCGCGTCTGGCAGTTTCGACAGAAT